TGGTCCGTTGTCAATCTTCCTTGATGATTTCACGAATTTTTTCAACATTTTCATGTGTTCGGGCCATGGAAGGACGACCAGAACGAGGTTTGTCATCAACTGACATTTCACCATTTTTGAAACGGGAAAACCACTCCAACACTTGAGTTTCCCCATAGCATCGTCCTTGTACGCCGTTTTTAACATTTCAAGAATTTCTGTTCCACTTTTCCTGAGCAAAAAGCAGAATTTCACTGCCGCACGCTGTTCACGAAAATCAGCCATTGCAAAAACGACGATCACACAAAACAGTTGTCACTATAAACTCTGCCGAAACTAGTCCTTACCTTCTGAAGCAACGGTAGTTGGCTTATCGACTCAGGAATGTTAGTTCTATGCGTTCATAGCAGCAAAACGCGTTACTACAAAAGCTCTGCCCACAAAAAAATTAGTTCAGTTTCTTTTGGGTACCCCATCGTATATCAAATCATGATTAAAGTTCATAAGACAACGCAGCATTCAGTTTGTTTTGTTCCCCCCCCCCCAATGTTCTTCGAACTTTCCTCAAACCTGCCTAATAGCAGGTGTACATAAATTATGCAGAGGCATAGATTTAAGTAAATACAGTATATATTTTATCAGACTGGAATTCTTTGTAGGAAGACATCCACATATAGCACATGACTTACATAACCGTCACAATCAATATTCATATGAACGTCTTCATTTGATTTCTGTGGCACAAGTTCTACACCTACAATTCAATGCAAAGAGAACAGCAGGCTCTAGCTTGTGCAATACACAGTATATCGCAGGCATTATGTCTCAGATTTTCAAGACTAAAACAAGAAAAACAAAATCCCTACCTTGTTTTGAATGTTAATTCTTCAGTATCAGAACTCTGAGAACTTTTAGATAACTGTTTCTTCTTTGCACAGCAGCATGCAAATTATCTGGTCTATTAAAACTATAACGGTTGGAAATGGTACCATGGAATCATCTAGCCAGCAAAAAAAATCCCCCATCACGATGAAAAAGGACATGATCCTACAACACACGTTTTTTAAATACAAAGGTCTATGAAAAACATTCCCTTTAAATTATATATAAAGGAATAAGCAGTTCATTTAAAAAAATGGCTGGTTTAATAAACTGTATACTATATTACTAAGTAAAATTTTGGAAGATTTCAGGTTCTCATGGCAGTGACAGTGGGGCTGTAATTGTGCAGTCTGGAAAAAGTTTACTGACATTTCAGAGGAAAAAGCTGCCTCCTTCCTTAGAGTACAAGAGAAAGTTAAGCATGGAAGCAAGTGTTATGGATATGGGAGAAAGATGATAGCTGAACAGGGGCCCTGAGCAAATGACAGGTACAAGAAAACAGTGTTATGCGAATTATCCCTCCCTGCTGTGGAAATTGGCCCTGCACCAGTTTCCTGGCCTCTGTATACATCCCACTCCTCCCATCTCTCCATGCTTGCAGAATGACCATACCACAGGTCACAGATTCCTTTTCGGTTCTCCTTATTCCAAATTTGTTCACTCCAGGCCCCCATCCCAGCTGTCTCCTTTCCTGTAGCCATACCACTTTTCCCCATGCTTCACTTACCCTTCTAACATTAAAACTGAGGCAGCATGTTTGCCCAAACTTTCACCAGCCTATAGGGTGTCACTTCCCAGAAGTAAAATTTATATCAAAAACTCTCAGAGATATTGGGTTTTCGGACTTTATCCATTGTCCTGGTTTTAAGATAACTAAGAAAAACACGTTTCAGAAACTGGATCTGTTTCCGTCCTCAGGTGAGAGAAAACACCTATTCTGTTGGGTCCCTTAGAAAGAGCTAGCCTCAATCACAGATCCAGTTTCTGAAACGTCTTGTTTTTCTTAGTTATCTTAAAACCAGGACGATGGATAAAGTCCAAAAACCCAGTATCTCTGTGTGTTATACACCATCGTCAGAATCCTACAGTAACCAATCAAAAACTCTGTTAGCTTCCCCACACCCTCCATGGCCCAATCCAGATATACTGAATCAGAAGAGGACACACAATCTCCATTCAAAAGAGGACACATACATTCACTGTTCTACAACTGTTTGCCAGACAAATGTCAATTAGATAATTTGCTGTCTTTACATCAGGGTGGCAGTTCACTATGTAAATTATGTCTTATACTCTGTCCACTACTTTTGTCTCTGAACGTTTGTTGTTATCATGACAAAACAGTACCTGACAGAGTTGGTCCGAGGCCTGTGCTCTCTGACGTCCATAATCCATCCAACATGACTTTCCACTGGTGGATTATTTGTGTGTCTTGTTTTTCGCTTTCGAAGGGTGCTTGTATCTGGAGGGTGGTCATCCTTGGTAACAGCATAGAAGCGTGAAGCTCGGCGATGGTGATGCTCTTTACGTGGCCGGGCACCGTTACTGCATTCTGAAGTGCGTCGTTCCAATACAGGAATCTGTAACTATTGGTAGCATGAATAAACTATGCTATCCTAACATGAAAGTGCTGCATACTAGTTGGTTAATATGCGGTAAGAGATGTGTTACTGGCTGTTTCTTCTGAAATACAATCCAAGGCAAACAGATAATTTGCTTCCAATTTCATATTTTTCATAATTCCTTACCAATAATGTAAAAACCGTCAGCCATACTATGATTAGTGCACTGTTCTTAACATTATGAATCACATACAGAGGAACACCCATTCAGCACTCCTCAATTTAATATGTTCCCTCATTTAACATTCAATTTCTGTGATCTCAAGTTAATAATCTCAGTGTTAAATTACCTCCATTTAAGATTTACACAAGCAGTGTTCAACTGTATAGTTCCCTGAAGCTTGAAATTGGGGCTTCACAATTCTACTGCTATATATATGTTGCATATTTTGATAACCCCGAAGATGCAAAACACTTTGGGGCCAGTACGAATGCAGTCTACACTTTCTCTCCCAGACAACATATCTCTATTGTTGCAATGGCATAAACAAAAGAGTTGTATAAATGTCTGGGTATATGGCTAGCTCACAATACCAAACAACATGACATTAAATGTTTTGCATGCAATAATCAATACCCACCCAATATGCTGTATCTCACTCTTTCTGTCACATTTCACATTTCTTCTCAAACTAAACAAATCTTAAATACCCATGTACAATCAACCTGCTTAACTTATCCGTGGACTCACAGTAAAGGCACAACTGACAAAACCTTTCCAATGCCACAACTCAGGTGGTCAGTCACCAGCTTCCCATTGCCGAGGCCTGGCTCTGATCCTATGTTAAGTCAAGTGGGATTTGTGCTGGACAAAATGGCACTGAGTTTCCTCTGGCAACTTTGGTTTCTCCTGATATTTCTCATTCTACCAAATGATCCATACTCACCTATCGCCTAGGGTTGGTAAACAGGCCAATCAGGGGCTGATGTACCAAGTGGACCCCTCAAACCCCCCCTTCCTAAAGCTAATAAGCAATAATTTTATAATTATTAAAATTCAACTGCAGATTGCAATAAAATCAATACTTATGTGCAAACTACTACTGCTGCCTTCCAACTGATACTTACCTCTGTTGGTGCAGACCTTGCTATCTCTAGTACTGGCTCTTCAGTACACAATGACTGTGCCAGAGAGGGGGGAGGAGGAGGAGGAACTTCAGGGTTGAGTTTACGTGGTGCACGTGGTGTCATCTTCTCGAAATCTTCTTGCGTTATGATATTCACAGTCTTGTAGCTCCCTGAGCTCTGCTGTTAGGAACAAACACATTATAATGTGAACCACATTAGTGCTTATCTTTATGAGAGATATCCTCAGCCATCACAATTTTTATCAGATGAATGAGTAGCAAGGTCCATCATATGCAACAAGTTTAATATAAAATACAGCCTTTACATGTTTTGGCAACTAGTGGCCATCATCATATGGCACAGCTAACACTACAAAGAAATCCTTTCCATGTACGAAGGGGGACCCAAAAATAACCAGAAACGACCTGTTGCGCGCGCACGCTTTGTAGTTACGAGTTGTGCTGCTAGGTGGTGTTAGCTGGGGGTCTCCCGCGACTGTTAGTGAGCTGGCGTCAGTCTGAGTTAAGTGGTTTGTCTGTGGTGCTCTGTTGTGTGCGTTCCTGTTTCAACCCTTTGGCGATTAGTGAGATGGCCGACCAGAAGGAACAAAGAGTGTGCGTGAAATTTTGCTTTCTGTTAGGGAAAACTGCAGCCGAGACTGTTGGGATGCTTCGGCAAGCCTTTAATGATGATGCTTTGGGGAAATCACAGGTCTACGAGTGGTTTTCCCGTTTCAAATCTGGCAACATGTCAACAGAAGACATGCCACGCCCCGGGCGTCCTTCGACAGGAAGAAATGACGAAAACATTGCCAAAATCAAACGTGCAATTGATGAAGATCGTCGAAAGACCATTGACCAACTTTCTGAGGAAACGAACATCTCATTGAGCATGGTCCAGCGAATTTTAACCGAAGGTTTGCACATGAGACGGGTGTCTGCAAAATTTGTTCCTCGCTTGCTCGGAGATGACCAAAGAGAAAACCGCGTGAATGTTTGCCGTGTAACCGCACCATGCAAGAACATCAACAATGTTGTTGATTTACATTCTTAATTACAATGTACTACATTTAAATGAACTGTATTACTGATAACAAGATGATACACAATTGCCCCCANATTAACATGGATCTGGTTAGGGATTGGCTGAATGCAAATGAGAGAAACACCCAAATTTTAGGTTCAGCCAATCAGCAAAATTTCAGAGGAGAGGAATCCAGGCATTCCCGGAACTGTCAGGACTTCTGCCTCTCCAGATCAGTCAGTCTTTACAAGTAATCAGAAGGAAATAGCGGGAGTCAGTCTTTACAAGTCATCAGAAGGAAATAGCGGGAGTCAGTCATTACAAGTAATCAGAAGGAAATAGCGGGAGTCAGTCATTACAAGTCATCAGAAGGAAACTGCGGGAGTGAGTCTTTACAAGTCATCAGAAGGAAACTGCGGGAGTGAGTCATTACAAGGCAATAAGAGCAGTCTTTACACGGGAATAAGAGCGGTTAGTCATGGATAGTGAGCAATCGGAGTGAGTTGCCAAAGGGAGTAACAGTAGTAACCTCCCGGACGTTAAATTGGTGTATAAAGTCCAAGTGCTANATTCAGAGCAATCCCACGCCCTACCCTGAATCAGACAGCTACAAGGAAGCGGCGGATAAAGGGCAGACCACAAAGGTGCGAACGTGAAGGGCAGGTAAGGGACGACCAACTCGTGAGGCTTGAAGTCTCACTGGGTTGTAAGGGCGAAGAAGAGGAGGGTGGTAAGAAGTGGCGCCGAACGTGTAGACGAACGGTAAGGACGGTAAGAGCCGCGACTTGAAGAGTGAAGTGCAGAACGATCCAGAATTTCTTAAAAGAATTGTTCCTTCTGGTCGGCCATCTCACTAATCGCCAAAGGGTTGAAACAGGAATGCACACAACAGAGCACCACAGACAAACCACTTAACTCAGACTGACGCCAGCTCACTAACAGTCGCGGGAGACCCCCAGCTAACACCACCTAGCAGCACAACTCGTAACTACAAAGCATGCGCGCGCAACAGGTCGTTTCCGGTTATTTTTGGGTCCCCCTTCGTATGATATGTAGGTTGTCATAAAGGGATTTCTACCTTTAGAAATCATAAGAATAAAAAAAATATTTCCATTAAAATAAGTTGGGCTGTTAAAAATAATCGGTTAAAGCTAATTAAAAGTCTTGCTGAGTGAATATAAAAACACAATGGACATATTTTCCTACTGCTCATATGTAGAATGTCTTCTGTGGTTGGTCATATGTCTGTGTGATGTACCTATGTTCCAGTAACAGCCCTCACCAGAACATACAGATGCTATCTAATTATTTTTAAAAGCACAACTTATTTTAACAATGTTAATATTTCTGTCTAGTCTTAATTTCTAATTGTCAAAATCCTTTTATGACAACTTATGTTTATCACACATGTAAAGCATTTCTCTGTAATGTTAGCTGTGCATTCTGATGGTGTCCAGCAGTGACAAGTAAATGCTTTACTTTACATTAAACTTGTATCACTTGATGAACCCATCAACTCATTTACACATTACGTGGGAGAGTCAGTACATAGATCACAAATGGATATAAAACGTGATATTTGGAACTGGAAAAAACTCACTCTCTCTCGACATATCGTCCACGAACATTGATACATATGCCCCATCACTTTATCAGTATATGCATTAGTTACCGTATTTTACAACACAATACATGTCCAATTTCTGTAAGCATAGTTGAAAATTGCCCAACATGAGAATCCAGTTTCATTTATATCACATACATATAAAATTAGAGAATTTCAAATATTCAAGTCATATAAATTTCTTGTAAGAAGGTGAAACTAATACAGTATATTGTTTCAAACTCTATCAAAATTATTAATCTGTTCTTAATTTCTTCATGAATCCATTTAACTTCTTATTGCCATTTCAAAATACCTGAAGTCTCCCACACTTCAAAGGATCTATTAAATACCTTCGTGAAATGATTCTGGCTGGCATTCAGGCAACAAGCCATCAACAAAGACTCTGTTTTCTCTGTTTACTTTCTGACAAACTTCCTCACTAGCATCTAACAGAGTTTCTATGCTTCTCTTCATGGTATTTATGATTCCCCCAGTAAATTAACATCATCAAAACAGAAGCTTAGTTCCCCACTCAAGTTTAATCTTGATGGCATATTTTAAAGAAAATGTGAAAAACAATGATGACAAAACATCTCCTTGCTTCAGGTCATTCTCAAAATGAAACATATCAGCCATATTTCCTTACATGGACTTTATTACAAGTTTCACTTACACACTTTTCAATTAGCCTCGCTAGTTTCATAAAAAGTAAAGTAAAGCTATCCCTGTAACAGGCCGTGAAGGCCCATAGGGTTGTGAGACGTTAAGGGTCCCACATTACCTTGACAATTGGCTCAAAGATGGCGGTAAGGTTGTCAGCCTTACGCGCCAGCCGCACTTTACTCTCCAGGAAAATTATTTAATTAATTCCTGTAACTCATTTCTGTTAAGAGGCTGGGTAAACCCCAGGGCCTAGTGCGGCCAGAAGGATTTTGTCAATTGAAAAAAATCCAATGACCTCATCGAGACTTGAACCCGTGAACTTCCAGCTTGTAGCATAGTACCTTAACCACTACAGATGAACGAAACACAGTAAGAATACTGTACAATCCTCCTCTCCTAACTGAATCACACACTTCCTTCAAGCACACAAATAGGTGATGTACTGTCCCACTGTACTCCCACCAGAGAAAGTTACCCATACAAAGCCACATTTAAATTACAATTTTGTGTTTTGATCTCAAATTTTTACCGAGGAGACACATACACATAAGTCAGTTACTCTACTGAGGTACCTTATTTGTGCACATAGAAGATGATAGTTTTTGATGATATATGCGCAAATATGCTTTTTGGCTTTGGATGGTAACTAGCCAGACACCCAAATCTTAGATTTCAAGTAATATGGCACTTACCCACTCTTGTTCTGTCCACAGTCCTTCTTCATAATAGTTCAATCCATCACTGATGACCTGTTCAAGGTCCTGGGTTATCTTCACTCTGGTGGTCCAATCACCTGTGCGATCATAGCCCTCATGCTTTGGATAGCGTGATGACTGGGAGGTAGCTTGCGTAACAATCAGCAGCTTGTTGATCTCATGGTCACTAAGTTCATAGTCCGATTCATCCTCAGACCTAAAACAAGTAAAATGCAAAATCATTCCACACTGAAAAAGTGAAAAAGGTACTTAACATTCTTATTTCACTACTGATCCTGTCTTCTTGACAAGCAACACTGAAGCAGGAATACAGATTTAGGTGTATAATTTAATATCACTATAAACCTATGCTCATTTTCATGCAGAATTTTACACTCACCAATCCGTGAACATGTTATGTCTTCCTGATGGTACAGGTCCATCCAGTTCTTCATCAAACTGAAAATCTAATTCCTCTCTTTCCTCAAAGCATTTCCGGTCTTTCTTTTCTTCTGGTCTTTCTTTTGGTGGTGGCTTTACTCTTCGTTTTACCTGAAATTCAGTACATTGATGATCACTAATTCTATAATACATACGACGACTATATCAACACATTCGTCAGTTCTTTCCTGTGAACTCTGTAAAGTTGACATCTGCCTTACAAAGGAATAAAACTCTGAATAAATCCCAGTCCATTCTGCCAACACAAGGCAAATTGGACATGTAAAATACTGTGTGTATTTGTGAAGGACTATCTTGTACACTGACACAATGATATTTCCACACAGAGGTACAGATGTCTCTGTGCGTGATTAAATACAATGTCATTAAGATATATGAAGTGGTGGCACAGCTTCACTATCCTCACTGAGCTATTCAAGATATTTTTAATGACACGCATAAATTACCTCTCTCCAGATATCATCCTCATCACCACCACAATTTACACCAAAATGTGACTGGGAACCATTCTTCAGGATAGGTACCCCAATCTGCTCCCGGGACTCCAGGTTTTCTTGGCAGCTGCTTGCAGACACCTCTTTCTCTGCTTGACGAGAGCCAAGTGATGTTTGAGAAGATTCTACAAAATATTTATTTGCTGCACCATCACTAATTCTGAGCTATCAATCCACAATAAACTTACATTATACAAACAAACTCTATGTCCAGTTTGGGGTTATGGCATCCAGCTCTGGGGTTGTGCCAGTGAATCCAATATTCAAGTTATTCAACATTATCAGAACAAAGTGCTGAAGTGTACTGTCAACGCACCATGGTACGTTAACAGTGACCTCCAGCGTGACCTTGGGATTGAGACGGTTACAGATATCATCAGTAAGTCTGCCACCTCTCATGAAAAGATTCCAAAACCATGTCAACATTGAACCGTCCAGACTTCTCAACCTGAACAATATTGTGACATGTTGCGCAACGGAGGACCCCTCCCTCCACAGCGGTACGTGGCGGCATCGTAGCACTGTCGTTACTATGGTAATAGGCAAGTCAACACACCGCCCCTTTCCACACGATAACGTAACACGCAACGCAGCCGTGACACGGGTAACAGGCAACAGCGGTACCCATTGCATAACAGGCGGGCACTGCGACTATATAAGAGAGCTACACTGCCTTCAAAGACAGTAGAGTTGGAATCTAGCCAGCGGCGAGTTACAAGTTACAGACGCGTGTGCGAGAATCAGTGATAGTTCGTGATAACCGAGTAATAATTGGGAGTGTGTGATACAGTTGCACTTGTATAGCTCCCGTCTCGTAATTAATACGTGTAGACTACTGACAATAGAGTGAATTGAATATTGAATAGGGGTTGTAAATTGTGAAAACCCGTAACAGTGTTATAATTAATTGTAGCCGAGACTTGTAGGTTGTTGAATAAACCAATTAACAATCTCTATGGCATATTCAGTAACCTCAACACGTTACAATATTATTAGACGACTCAAACGGAAGAAACCGTTCGAACTAGTTAAATGTTAAAGTACTAAGTAATTCAGTGGAAGTGACTTAGTTTTAATTTATGTAGTATATTAGGTTTAGAAAAAAATTAATCATTAGTTATCCAACTAGTTTCAATTGTAATTAAGTTCTGGGTTACCCAATCTTTAATTAATAAAAAACCATCACTAAAATTTTCTGTTCCAGTGTCTGCCTGTTAACTAGCTTTATTGTTATTGTCAAGCAATTAGAAAATATATACTAAAATAACATAAATCTGTTTTACTATTATTTTCTGTCATTAATACTACTCATTACTACTATTATTACTGTTACTGGTTATTAAACATGTTTAATAGTTCAGATGATATTACATCACACAATAACTAGACAATAATTAATTGTAATGCTTGTGGAAGGTGACTAGAACCTAATTTGAGGTATGCTCTGGGAGTTCCCTAGAGGGATTGAGGAAAACCAAAAAATTTGGTATAGCTGGTCTCCAAGCTGAGATATGAAACCAGAACCACCTGTACATAAAAGAGCACTACCCATCTGACTGCGGCATGTAAAAGCAGAATCACAGAATAATTTTTAGTCCAGTAAGGCTCTTCTGTCTCACTGGAGGTCTTTACTAGTAAAGACGACACCACACGCTGTGGAGGAAACAAGCAAACCAGGGGCATATGGCAGTCATAACTCAAAAGTAGGCTACGAACGTGAGGGGCAAGCTGCCGAGACAAAACACCCTGGACAGACATACATTTATGAAAATGGACGACACCCCGTGCGAGGTCAAATAATATGCACCAAAATAACCTGAGTATAACAGAAACTTTAAAGGATTTTATCTGGTTTTCCCTTTAAAAAAAGGGGGGGGACTAAAGCGTGTGATTTTAACACGGACTAACACAGTGTAGCAGTTTTAACACAGTTTAATAAAAATGTTTTAACATATCAACACAATGTAGCAGTTTTAACACAGTTTAATAAAAATGTTTTAACATATCAACACACCTGAAGATGGCTGTTTGGGGCCAAAACATGTAGTGTCGAGGTGTATAATGTTAAACTAAAATCAAGTGGTAAATGGAAGAGTGTTGCAATATTGATGGACGATAAATAATGGACGTTAAGTTTACTTAAAGAGTTTATTTAATGTGAAATTCCATATGTGTACATTAAGAGTTGATACTGCGAATGTTGTTCACATACCTTCACGGATAATTTCCCGATCTTTGTGCTGCTCTCCACTTTCACTTCTCTCTGTTTCTGCTAAATCCTGATCACCAGTCTCGCCTCGGACTCTCACAGTCACAGGGATGAATTCAGGAACATCTGGATTTAAGTTCTCTCCCACATGATGCAAATCGACGCCATTTTGGTGGTCAGTCAAGTCAACTGTTATTGGTGGAGCTGATGGGGATGAAAATGAGTGAAAATCTGCTGGAAGAGGCGGTGGAGGAATGTCTGGAGGGTGTGTAAAGTGATGAATGCTTGCCGATCTCTGACCTGGCATTATCAGCCCAACACCATGATGCAGACCCAAGTCAAGAAACTGTTTGCCAGGTTCGGTTATTGGCCATTTTGTTGGATCATTCTTGGTTCTTACCTGCAAATCAGAATCAACATATTTTGTTATAAATCTTATTTACTTTTTAGCTGCATATTTCACATATTCATAACGAGTAAATTCCGTCGGTGACTGGAATTTCAACAACATCCTAGACCAGTGTAACAAAAAGCTGAGAGTACTGTGCTTATCAATTATCACACCACAAAAAGTATGGGCCACAAAACCTTGACCTCAGCAGCAGACAGAGGTGAGTGACCAGTTTCATGTGGGAAAGTGTGTCTGATGATCACTTGACTGACTGGGTCAGTGGGCTCCAAGGCCAATCTGAGCGGCTGCCTCTTCCAAAAACTGAATCCCAGTAACCCAACATTTAAGTGGGCACACTACCTCACAGTTCAACTAACAACTTTCCTTAATTAGTTAACTTATTTTTCAAAGGTCTGTAGTTGACAATTTCAGTTCCATCACTGCACTCTGCTGACTCCACCTCATAAGTTTTGCCTGCCTAACAAATTCCATTTCAAATAGAAACGTGTGGCACTTCAGCCCTGCTTTTCCTGCATATTTAAATTCTAAATTAAATATTACTGAAACAGACGGAGCATCGCTTGGAAGTCTGCTTCAAGAGGATCCAAACTTTCTTTCGAAGGTTGTCGTCACTGGTGACGAAAGTTGGGTTTATGGCTACGACCCTGAAAGCAAGCAGAAATCGTCGCAATGGAAGAGCCCTTCTTCACCTCGGCCATAAAAAGCTTGATAAGTCAAGAGCAACATTAAGTCCATGTTGATCTGTTTTTTCCCAATTGACGGGACTGTTCATAAGGAGTTCGTCCCTCGTGGTCAGTCAATAAAGAGTTCTATCATGATGTTCTAAGGCATTTGAGGGAGAACATGAGGAGAAAACGTCCAGAGAAGCGGCACGCGAACGACTGGGTACTCCACCATGACAACGCACGATCGCATACGGCTTACACCGTGCAGGAATTTTTTGCTAAAAACAAGATGGCAGTTGTTCCCCACCCACCGTACTCGCCAGACTTAGCTCCATGCGACTTAAATCTCTCCTCCAAGATGAAAATCAAGTTGAAGGGGCAAAGATTTGATACAGTTGAGGAAATTCAAGTGGAAACGCAGACAGCACTAAACACCCTAACAAAGAAAGACTTCCAGGATGCATCTGAAAAGTGGTAGAAACGCTGGGATCGGTGTATGCGCTCCCAAGGGGACTTTGAAGGTGATGGGGCAGAATAAGATCTGGGTAGGATGTAATAGTTTTTATTAATATATTTCAGGAACTTTCGGATTGCACGACGTACATGCAAGTGTAAAAACTGAGAGACAGTAACACGGTCTCCAGTAAAGAGCTGCAGGTTATAAACATAACCTAGTTGGCAAATTAACACGGTCTCCAGTAAAGAGCTGCAGGCTATAAACATAACCTAGTTGGCAAATTCTGCTATTTGAGATTATCGTGTATACTTCATCGATATCCTGAATTATCTTCCCCACAGTGTGTAACACATCTGAAATGCCAATGGTTCTCACTGCCCATGTAATCTAGAGTTGATGAGCAATTCCCTTCCAGAAAGTAAATTTGTAATACTGATGACCAGAACAGTTCTACTGAAGTCACTAGGTCCCAAGTCTTCCTTAATCGTTAAAAATGAACTGTCTGCTTGAATGCGTCAAGTTAGAGAACCTGTACCTTGAAATCATTCATTTCGAGCATTTCTGAGTCCCTTATAGCAGCAGTCACCAAATTCAAGTCTGTAGACAATGCCTGGACCCGATGGAATGATGCGATAAGTTTAACTGGTAAGTAACCTTCATTATCCATCTTGCGACGAACGAAGAAGTCTCGTAACAAGTTCTCTTCACTGAAGTAGTATTCTCTGCAGACATAAGAACAAAACATATTTTTAAATATGCAGCATTTACAAATGTATAGGAGATAACGAATACCGTTTTATTGGATGTGGCACCACATATATCTTGTGTGAACTGATGTTTTGGAAGAATGCATCTCCTACATCTTCTACCCTGAAGATGGAGGCAATACGTTCTTCCTAAACATCAGTTCACACAAGAACTATATGGCGCGACATCCCAGAAGACGGCATTCTTCTTAGTGACTACCGTGAAAACCTCAAATCTTATATACATTCTCTTCCTGCATGTACATCACAGAATGAAAATTTTCTTCTAAAATACAATACACATGGTCGTCAACTTACAACCGGCTTCCGTTCTGACTGTTAGGTCATAAGTCAATCTGGTCGTTATGTCGGCCATATATTTATTAACATATTTTTAACCTTTCTAATCTTTTTATCATCTTTATAATTTATTTTTCATTTTTTTGTTGTCGTAAGTGCAGCCGGTCGACGACCAAGTGTACAGTATACAGTGCAAATATCCCCTAGCATGTTATGAAGCTTTCACAACAGTATACACAAAGACTTCTCTGGAGACTGACTGTATCAATGTGGGATTAGCATCTGACATTTTTGACGATGTCTCTGTCTCCATCATCAGAGTTTGTGTGATTGTTCTGTTGACATGAAATAAATATACACAAAAAACTGTTACTGCCCCAGCTTTCCCAAACACTCTGGGCTGTAGCAGATGACAGTTCTGTGTATAAATATAGCACCTGAACAGAAATCCCCAGTCTATGAAACATCAGACAAGAACTCCATACTCACAAGGCTTATCATTCACCACCTGAGAAGACTTCAATGTAGACAGCCTCTCCTCATTCTGCATTTCAAAAGTGCTACTTAAGCATGACAAGACTAACGTGGGCAAAGATGGCAGTAAAAAGGTAAAGCTGCCCTGCCCTTAATTAATTAAGCACTACACCATGAAGACGCATGGGGGACTAGATGCATACATCCACATTTTCTTGACCCCTTCACTATTTGGAGGTGAGTGGTCAGCTTCATGTCCTGGTCACTTTAACCCCAGGGGAAAGAGACCCTGGTACCCACTGGATAGGTTGGGTGGACCCCAGAGGAGGTCTGGATAACACCCAGAAGAGAAAATACTTGACCCTACAGGAACTAAAATTCTGACCCCTAGGATGTCCATCCGGTAGCCAGTCGCTACACCGACTACACTATCCAGGTTCTTTTTTAAAGAGAGTAGTAAGAAAGATAATATTTACATCTGCTTTCGTATGTATTCCTTCAATGTAGGTTCATCCACATTCAGGTAGCTGTTGCCATCAAAGTATAATGTCCCCATATATGGCATCATAAAGCCTGGTTGTTCAGATGGACCCCCAAACTTGACCTGCAACAGTGAAAACACTCCACCATTTTATATGAAAACAAGAGACATTTACACCGAATCACTGTTCATTTATTCTATTCTGCTCAGGTATTGTGCTTTCTTCATAATATTCCCAACTCAGACGGGAAAAGAAGACAAAATAAATTTCATTATCATCACTGCAAACATCAATCACTGCTAGAAGAAAGTGGGATGCTGACACAGTTCGCTTCAGCAAAAAACATTGTTACCTTTAATTGCAAGATCACAAACCCTTTGCATAACATTAAAGCCTATAACAAGGTCAACTAATCTTTAACTGCTCTTCCTCATCCTTCCCACATTTATGGGGATCAAGTTGCCTCACGAAGTAACAGCATAAAATTATACACACTTGAGACGCCTCCCAGAATGTCATAACCACTACTTTTACCTACCTTCCTTCGCACAAAACAATCCAATCAACAAATTTCACTTCAACAAGCCTCATACATTTCTGACTACTACAAGATCTCTTACAATGTGCGAAGTTCCATGCCGCCACTTTTTGATGTGAAGCAGTTTTACATCATGTAGTAATGTATACGCATTTTACCTGAGTGTATTCTGTTGGGTAATCGGGATAGTCAGACCCATTGTGGGGTGGGCCCCCTCTACGGTAATTCCCCCGTCCAAAGCCTCGTCCTCCACCATGTCCACCTCTTCCCCTGTGCCTCGGTCCACCACGACCACCTCTGAAGTGATGGCTCCGTCTGTCCGAACCATCCGTGCTCCTCCAACTATCCCCATCATCACGGCTGTAGTGTTCAATACCTGCAGGATAACCAACTGCTGCGACATGAATGGTTAACTTTACCTGCATTACCAAAAGTTGCAGAACCTAACTGGCAAAGGTAAAGTTGCCCCTGTGTTTAATGAATTAAGCACCGTGCAATGAATACATATGGGGGGAGTGAAGGTATAGCTCCACCATTCTTGTACTTGGGACTAGATGGAGGTGAGTGGTCAGCTTCACACCCTTGCCACTTTATTCTTTAGGAAACAGCAATCAGTCCCCATTGGACAGGAGACTGTGTGGGCCCCAAAGCTAGTCTGAATGCTGAGGAGAAATGAAAAATCTCTTGCCCCTACCAGGAATCAAATGCCGGCCATCCAGCCACAGGTATACAAAGGATGGACCAGAGCAGTGATAGTGTACCACAGTAAGACGCTGAACAAGACCGAGAGAAATTACAGGGCATCAGGTCGGAACTACTTGCAATACTGAGGACATTACAACATTTCCATAAGTACCTCAATGGCTTAAGAGTTCTACCTGCGCACTGACCACTCCACACTAACCTGTCTTATGAGTTTTACGAACCTCGAAGTACAAACTGCCCGCTGGAATCAGCGTCTACAAGAGCACAACTTCACTTCTGAGCACCTTCAATGCTGAAAACACAACAATGCCGATGCCCTTTCATGACGATCCTGCCAAGAAGAATGTACGCAACGCCACAAAGTCATGGCGCTGGCAAACGTCAAACAGGTCTGAACTATTGAGGCTGCAGACACAGCCAGCCGATTTGAAATTTGCAGAGGCACTGATGGGGCACACGCGGAAAGTAAGTTCTGAACTGTGTATGCTATTTTTTATTTAATACTTAATTCTGTACATACATATAATATAATGTCATTAAAAATCTGCATAAAATTCACCCTACTTCACTAAAATATGCAAGGACTTTTGGGACACCTGTATACAAAACTAGGCATATTATCTTGAAACACTTGTCATAAAAGAACACCACTTACCATGATCTCCATTCCTCTCCCTGTAGTGTCCACTATAGAACTTTGGTGAGTGATCTCTTTTTCCACACCCCTTGGCTAAGTCAATGTCCAATGGAACCCATTTCTGCTTTGGGTCTGTTTACAGATTAAAGAAAACTGTGTTTCAAGCTCTGGTGACTGTAGTAATTATCAGTACCTTCAAGCTTACTGATTTTTAAAGGCATTAACTAATATTCTTCTGGCAAGGCCAACATCATGTACAGAAAAAGACTTAAGGTGCCTGCCAATGCCAGTTCCAATATTACTACATGAAATGAAAGTACAACTCCACAGAATATAACCTAAATTATAAAGCTCAAGAAGTTTGTGACTTCATCATGACAAACAAATGCACACATCTTACTTGAATTTTGAATACCCAAATCATTTTTGATAAATATACTAAGCCTGAGGTAAAACACATAACAAAGTCTGCACACACAAATATTTGGTGATGCACTTCCCACTAAATACAAATAGCTGGCACATATTTTTTTTTATCTGTGGAACCACCATGGTGGAGAAGTCTGTGACAAATTAAAATCATCTACATAATGGACAGCCAGAAGTTACCGACTGTGGGTTTAATACACTATAGCTAATACCTCATGTTAGTGGTTAAAAAATTTAGTGTGTCTGTGGACTTCATGTGGACTGTAGTCTTTTGCCTAGCCAAACATTCCACCCAAAGCTCATCAAGAGGGAAGTGATGCATTCACATAATATATGTGTTATGCACTGGGCTACACATTAATAATATATAATTAATAAATATATACAAACATGTTCCAAGTGTGTTGGAAGATGGTTAGGTCAGAAGAAAAAATATGGTCATTCACATTTAGAAAAAGGAGCAAATAATCCCACTACCAGAAACTGCCACAGTTAAACTGTTCTATATCTGCAGATGTGTATGGAGAAGGCAGAGTTCAAAATTGCAGTTGCATAGCTCTGGAACAAATCTAAACAGACTGATACTGTTGTGGCATCAGTACATAAACACAAAGCTATCTCCAGAGATAGGAGCATGATGATCTAAAACCTGTTCTTCTGTTTCTTAGCCAAGAAACATTTTCTAAACCATTCACATAATGTCGCCTCAGCCACAAAGATCTTCTTACAAGGAAATTATCTGGTTTTCAAATGTAACCAATAAAAAAACACCTCAACACACCATATTACTTTCATACTTAAGTGAACAGCAATTCAGTAAGTGTGACCAGTTTAATACAAAAATATATAAATACATCTTTACATGTTTCAGCCAGCACTGACCATCATCAAAAGGTTCTCCAACATTACAGGGAAATATTTTACATATATACCATACATGTCTCTGTATGGAGACTTTTACCATTAAAATTTAAGATCAGATTTAGGTATTACATCCTTTTTAGTATGCATCTTGTTGTGTGTCGTACGGAAGTTATATAATGGGACAGTCTACAGAACAATAATTCTGAAAAAGAAAAAGTAGAGACTACTGTGTCAACATTTGTTTTATGAGCTGCTGGTGGTAACACTACATGTTTCGACCCTTTTCTTGGTCATATTCTATATTAGTTCTATATTAAGCTGGTTACACTTAATGGAATTACTGTTCATTAAAAGAACAACAATAATCACTGAAAATACAAAAAATATACAATGGAACAAATGAACATTTTAAGTAAGAAACATCTGCAAAACTCACGATGACATTATAGGTTTCTGGCACCAAATACTACAACGTCAGCAATGGTATTGTTTTACCCACTCTTTTTCCTCCTCTCTGCAGCCTCTGGTCCAGCTGGCTGTTTGGAGCCTTTGTGCTGGTCCTCCAAAAAGGATGAACTGCCATTCTGCACAGGTTTAACCTCAGGAAGGAATGGGCCATGAGCTCCTTCACTGTTTAAAGCCTGTCCATTACTGGTGCTACTGTTACTGTTCCCAGCATTTCCCCTCATGTAACCATTTTGTTTTGCCAATGGAACAGGATTCACTGGGCCTTTCTTCTGCACATTTTAACAAGGCAAATAAATTAGCTTCATGAAGTTTACACCAAATTTCCAGCATATAACCTAATTATTTTGGTTCCTAAACTTTCACTGCTTACAACACTCAGAAGTGACAATACATCTCATATAGATATGTAGTTCTGGTGCAGACATGAGGCTTAATTTCAGTTTATAATGAAGGTGCACAAATTTTATGTCCATTGAACTGATTCCTGTTTCCATTATACTAATAAAACTAACAGAATTCTCCAACAGTTCAATTACTGAGGTCAAAATAATAAAAACTATCAAACCAGAACTCTGGTAGTGCACACAGATTTCCTTATTAAGGGCAACAACTCTACTCATTTATATTAATAATTAGAACAGAAAAAAAAGGATTATCTAAGTGATAAAACTGGATAACATTCTGACTCAGTGAAGTACAGTTCAGTTAAGAATGAAGAACAAGATATGCCACACACGAGGACATTGCTGATAATGTCAGACAGGTATGAGGCACAACATATTGATGTCAGTCGGGCATGAAACATATCAGTCCACCCACATGTAATGAACCAGGCATAATAAAGACTCAAGTCAGATATGAGGCAAAATAAATGAGTCCACTCAACTGGGCCTGGCAAATAAGTCCATCATGTAAAAGCATGACATATCAGTCAAAACAGGTACTTGACCAGACATGTCAAGAAAGTCATTCAGGTACAAGGCTTAACACATCAGACCAGTAAGGTGCAATAAAGGTCAACCAAACATGCCGTCAGCTGACATGGTTAGTCAAATCAAATGGTGGTCGAAGAACGAAGTCTCCACTGGTGGTCGACATGACTTAGTGCTTAAATTCGTCAGTTTCTGAATGCAAGAAATGTGCCTTAGACAGAAATTCATTGCAAACTCATGGAAGTTTATGGTGAAGATAAGTTCACAGTGTGTAGCAAAATGTAGGGAACTTTGAAACGAAGGAGGCAGTACGGAGGATTATGAAAACAGCTGAAGCTACAGAACATCTAGAACTGCTGACAATGGTCCAATGGTGGAAAGTGTGATTTGCAAACAACAGAAGGGATTAGGGTGAGAAAACAGCTGAAGCTACAGAACATCTAGAACTGCTGACAATGGTCCAATGGTGGAAAATGTGATTTGCAAACAACAGAAGGGATTAGGGTGAGTAAACTGTGTAACAGCTTGAATCTGCTGCATGAAGCACTCAACTTCATTACTAGTTGTGTTTCAACAAAGTGTGTGCACTTGGTGTCTCAGGCACTAAAGACAATAGGAAACAAAAAGTGCATTGTGCTGTCATTCTGCAACAATATTCTCACAGTAGTGAAGGATTTTTCTAGTGTATTGTCACACATGACACGACATGGGTTCACCACTGTACCCTAGGCAAAAAATGCACTAGCATGAAATGGAAACACCCTGATTCTTCAAGACCATACAAGCTCAAGATTGAGAGATCTGCTGGCAGTGACAGCTGTGGAGTTTACTGATCACAAAGGTGATCTGGTCTGCTCGTAGACATGATGTACCAAGCCACAAAAACCAAAATTGAAACTTACAGTGCAACAATAACATGTTAATGCACAGCCACCAAACAAAAATACACTAGACTTCTTTGTAGAGGTGCCCTACTTCTGCATGATAATGCATGGCCACATTCTGGCAAGGAAGCCCAACAACTTCTGTAGTGTTGAGTGGGAAATACTGGAGAATCCTGCATATAGTCCTGATCTGGCACCCAATGACTACCACCATTTACTGGTGCTGAAGGAACATTTTCAAGGCCACGGTTTTCAAAGTGAAAACACCTTCACTGTGTTCCCCATCTCCCTTCTGTGATATTTTTCATTCTGACCAATTGTAATCATAAACAGAAAAGTATATATGATTTGAGGTTCTCACAGCAGTGGTTATGAAGAACTCTATCTTCCACGATATGATGCCATATAGTTGACTGAAAGTCAACAGACATTTCAGAGGACCATGTCGTCTCCATCTTCAGGGATTAAGAACAAGCCAAGGATGAAACCAGTGTGCAGTGGGAAGCAAGCAGACAAATTCCACAGAAACACAGGCTGGCTTTCAATCGACTACACAGTATTACATCCCAGAAGACAGAGAACTCTTCCACAGACAAAGTAAATTTGAACATGATCACAGTAACAGTAAAAAGGTAAAAACGGTAAAGTCGTTCCTGTGCTTAACTAATCTAGCACTATGAATATGGGAGTGGATGTAAAGATCCACATTTTCTTAACCTCGGCACTAGATGGAGAAGAGCAGTCAGCTTCACGCCCCGGCTGCTTTATCCCCGCAGAAAGAACCCCCAGTATCCATTGGATAGGAGGTTAGGTAGACCCTGAAGTCCATCTGGATGACATGGGGAAATTATTGATCCTACTGGGACTTGGAACTCTGACCCCTCACTCGTTCAGTCCATAGCCAGTTGTTATACCGACTATGCCATCCCGGCTACTCACAAAAACAGTAATGGTCCAAAAATACAAGCGACTTTTACTTAAAAACAGTATTTTCATTACAAGCAAATATTACAAGCAAACAAAGTCACGTTCAATAGATGTCACAGGGACGAAGACCCATCAGTACAGAGAGCAGAAACAAGACAACACAACTAACATCATAACACCTTCACATATGTGACTCAACTGTACACAGAGTACTGACAGAAAAGTACAAGAATAATTCATGAATACATACATACCTCTGCACCCCCAAGAGTTGGCCAGTCATCTACATCTGAGAAGTCACTTGCCTGCAAGGGTACAAGAAGAAGTATCAGTTTTGTCTGCCATGCTGCGATGTGTAGCATATTTTAAATAGAACTGTCCATCACGGTTACATTTATCTTACACCTTCCCCCACCCCAAAACCGAAATCAATGGAAAGAAAGATATTAAAAAACCACCAAGTCATGGTTTTCAAAGACATCAACAACAATTTCCCAGCAATATCTGTGAAGGGATCTTAGATATTCAACAATTACCCACCAGATTAACAGGTGCAGTGTACCATCGTATTTTGGTAATGATTTACCAGTACTATTGGAAGATTTACCTCTTCGTCATCAACACATGCAGTTCATGCATGGTGAGGCACTTCATTTTCTCTGCATTGCCAGTCAGCACCTGAACTTTCAGTGAACAGTCAATGGGACATGTACACCCAGTCAACTGGCATGCACGATCCCCTGATCTTAACCCTCTGGATTCTTGGCTGTGGGGACACCTGAAGACCTTGGTGTATTTAATGCTGATCAATAACTTACAAGTATTACTGCAACGAGTAGAAAATGCATGTCAGGAGAATCGAGTGAAACCAAGAATTTTCGACAATGTGCGTACCTCTGTGTGACGACATACTAAAACCTGTCTTGAAATGCATAGGACATCTGCTGTAGAGATGACATGAACATCGCCCATATCTCAGCAGGCACTGGTTTTTGGACATACACATATGTTGAGTACTATATGCCCTTAAAGCCTATAACCCTTCTTTAGAACCCAGCATTTGGGCATCTTTCATATTCTCTTTGACCTGCCAGCTGCATTAAAATGTTGCAACAAGTCGTTAAACTGCTGCAGCAGGCAACTTTAATTTTTAAGAAAATTGCTATTTCAAGCGCAATGTACTTACAATACATACAGCAATCACAAGATTGCAGCGATACAAACCCATTATCCCTAATAAGACTGTTATGTATTCTTTCCAGTATGTCTTTCCAGACAGGTTATGGGGCCCACCCAGTCTCCTATCCAACTGCTACCGCGGATAAAGAGGCCGAGGCGTGAAGCTGACCATTCACCTCTAACTAATAACGAATGAAAGAATACATGGGTCTACACATCCACTCCCCCATACATCTTCCATGTAATGCTTAATTATTTAACAAAAGGGACAACTTTACTGATTTGGCCTTTGTTCGAATTTGTTTTTGTTGAAAGCGGTACCGGGCGATAATGTGCGAAGTCAGTGTGAGCCTGTTTATGTATGACGATTTGCTCGCTTAATTGTGAATAATCAACGAAGAATTCGCGTAATGAAGTGTCTGGTCGGGAGCATAATTAGCAAGGGTTTAAAATTTAAACGCGAATATCCATTTCCAATTAGTGATGAAACTGATGTAAAGACTGTCTGATATACATTGTGTAAGACCGTTTTCTCAATAAGTAATGGCAGGAGAAATGACATAAATACATTCGTGCAGACAAGCACAAGAATCAATGGCTGAATCGGGCAAAATTCTGTTTTTTGTGTGTGGGAGAAACCACTGGCGATAAGGAATTTGACCTAGCAACAAGCGAAGGAACATTCTCTTTCCACGCTGTCGCTTGCTTACAACCAAAGTTTCCAATCGATAAATTGTACTTAGACAATAATTAGGTTATATGGTAGTGCCGGGGACAAGAAAATGTGGATCTATACATCCACTCCCCCATACGCCTTCATGACTTAGTGCTTAAATTCGTTGAGCACAGGAACAACTTTACTTTTTTTTACCTTATCTGAAGCAAAGTTCACACATGCAGAAACCAAAGTTTCAGCTATTGTGGTGAAGTCCTTGCTCCACTATCTATCAATCAAATAAGAGAATGTGACGATGCCAAATTTATTTCGTACTGGCTACAGCATCTAATCATTAACACACTATACTAACTGTCATTTTGGTGAAATTACTTTGTTCCACAGCAAGGACCAACAACCGCTAATTCTCGACCTGACAAACTTGTCCGGTGAATCTTCTACACACTTAAACCGAGCACACGGTATGTGTTCTCGAAGAATTTATTGTGGCATGCAGAACCGTTGCTAGGCGGCGACCGCGAGATAGGCGACTGTACAGCGGCCCGCAAACAAGAGGAATGATGTTTTCTGCGTGGTACGCTATGCAACAAACGAACAGCATTACTAGAACGATGTTCTCTGTGCGGTCGGTGCCGAGATGTTATAAGGGGGGCAGCTGCATCAATGACTTAATTGCGGGACAGTCGCCAGCCGGCAAGAGAGTGAGCATGAAAGCTGATGACACTGTTGGGATCAGTCACAAGGCAACGACTGTGAAGCTACAGCAGACAGAATAATCAATACGTATTGTAGTGAACTGAAGAGTGTGTGAATTAGCGATGGCGCTATAGTTACTTGTCGTTACTATTTGTAAGCGCCCAACAAATCCAATTACAAATCAAAACCACGTTTAAAGTCACTCATAAACGTTGACAATATTACTGGTGTGGGCTGCGGAGCATACACACTGCACAATGCCGTGCAGACTGCTTACCGATGGACACAGAAAATACTGTCGGCAAAATACACGTACAAGCATATCAGCATTCCCACCAGGCGTGTTCAAACACTGAAGGGCCTTGTGTTCTCGTTGACGTGAAACATAAGAATATACTCGGCCATAATAAAATGTTATGGCATTCTCTGATGCCTGTTGCTAAGAGGTTCGTGGTTGTGGATCGCCTCTTGTTTCATATTTCTTATCAACTGGGATGTGCCCCACCATCTTCAAGAAATGGTTTGAAAGTAAAACGCAGTTTCTGAGTCTGATCTTTCTACAAAATTAGCTTGAGATGTTTCAAGCTTGTATACAGGAACCTGAAAGAGATAACATTTTAGCAGAGAAATGAAAAGCATAATTGATGCCTTGCTGGTGAAAGCTGAAACCAGATAAGCTAGTAAATTCCGAGCTATGCAATAAAAAAATTCTTGTTGCGTTGAAAGACGCACGCGATGTAAAATCGCAGCAATTTCGCTCCCATTTCGGTGGGTTTTATGGCACAGCAACAGAATATATTACATATTGAATTAATCCATTTGACGATTTGAAGTGATTCACGCCCAGGAAGACGTTCATAAGCCATCTGAATTTATAACAACATAATACGAAAATAATCCTTAGTGAATCAGATGACGAAGCTTGACTATTTGATGGATACTGTTGGTGTTTCAAACATGTCGAGGGGATACCAGATATCTGGAACGAAAAGAAACTAACAGAGACGAACGCTGGTAAGAAATATTTCGCCATTTTAACTAGGAAGATATACACTTCGAACATTACCAGACTCACAGAATTCTCCTATCTCTGCCAGGAACAAATGCAGCTGTGGAAAGGGTCCCTATTCTTTGCTTCCTGTTTTGTTATCGTGGGGAAAGCGTGTTTTTACTGGTGAATGCCTTACGGATGGATCAAAGAAACAGGTTAGAAATGTCCACTGTGAAATCATTAGTTCTAGTGAAGCATCGCTTTTGTAACTATAAATGCACAGCATTTCGAGTTTCTCTTAATTCACTGCAAGAACAGATACCCATTACCGCGAAACACATTTCACCCCTGCAATACCAACACAGATGGAGAAGTGCCCGTGACACACACCTCCGTTTCAAAAGCTCTACTTTATTTTACAAGTAATATCAGTTTACGATTCATTCCTAAAAAATGTATCGCATTTCCTCGTGACTGGTGTTTTTTCTCTCCAAGTGTTGTTTATTTTAGATCATTATTTCAAGATTATCGTTTTCGAAATTCTGTGCGCCCTCAACTAATTTTGCATATATCTTCCCATTTCGTAGTTAATTCAAGCGTTTCTTCCACTTGTAGCCAACAAAAATGAGTACGCGTGTACTAACACCCAACACCCATATGACTGATCGACAAGAAAGTTACGAAAACATGGGATTCCAAGACCACTACTGAGTACACATCGCTGTAGCAAACAGCGTCATGGTACACACTGCCGTGATGATCTTTTCTTCAAACAGAAACTAACAACGCATTTAAGAATACCTTGCAAACAACAGGACCAACCGGAGCCTGTGTCCCTTTACAAACTCTATGAACGAAATATTTGTTTATTGTAATGTGACATGACGACGCTAGTGTTTAATAAGCCATCCACTGCTACGCAAAGGCAAAATGAACGCGTTTCCGCTGCAACAAACACGAAAGCACTGGACTTGCATATAATGCAAAAGGAAAAATATTCAATAGCATGCTACATGTGTCATACGTATACTTGATAAAAGGCCAAGCATATTCATAAGAGACAGCCCCATCCTCTTGTCGGAGAGGCTGTTAAGTAAGGACTATGACCTCAAGGGTTCAGTTAAAAAAAAAACTTTGGTCGTGTTCCTCAAGGGGCATGACGAAATGGCTGGCGGTAAATCACCAGTCGTAAAATAACTCTGAACTGTAAAATGTAGGGCATCCCTGCCCGGAGGCGGGTTCGAATACCTCCACCGTAAGCCTGATAGTCGTAGGAGGTGACGAAAAGAGAACCCAGTGCGTAGGTGTATAGCTGGGCCACCCTCTTCCTGGGGGATATAAAAACGGGGGCCTGGTCTTCAACGTTGAGGGTAATTCAGATCTGAGACAGCAACATGTGGTCATGAGTCCCGCGGGACTCGGGCCCAAGAATGGCTGCGCTGGCAAGGGTTAGCAGCAACTGTTACAGCCTGTTACAGGGATAGCTTTACATTTTACTTGTTCATATCCTGTACCCCTCTTCTTTACTAACTTCGCCGACAAGCGGCGGTCGCTCGGTCGGTATAGTTCGCTTGCGGACTCAAGCCATGCAGTTTCTTTTTTGTAGCCCTCTTCTACCGAACTGGCACCAACATGAAAGGGGTACAGCGTATATCACTGATCATACACGTAATAGTGGGCTTCGCCGACAAGGGGCGGTCGCTTGGTCGGTATAGTTCGCTTGCTGACTAAAATCACGGAGTTCGTTGTTTTTAATAGTGGTTTACAAACTGCAATCTAAGACACACTGATGCTGTGGAATGAGCAGAAATATGTCTAGTAGTGAATTTATACAGAAACTGTTGTATCGTCAATTACAAGAAATAATCTTCAACAAGAATGATACTCAAATTAGGCACTTACACGCTGATTGAATCTCCTGCGATCACGTGGAGCTCTCACTACAGTTGGTTTCACAGTGTTCACGCTTCCATTTTCTGTAACAAAACGGAAAGTATGCATTAAGAAAACTAGTTCATTCCACTATCAAATTAACAGCAAATAAAGCCATGCACACATACTACTGGGCTTGACAGCATTGACATTTGTTAGTGTCGAGAAAGACCGCGCCATAGGTCAAGCGGTTAGTCGCTGGCTTCCCACCGCGGCGCCCCGGGTTCGATCCCGGGTCTGGTCAAGTGGGATTTGTGGTGGACAAAGTGGCGCTGGGACAGGTTTTCTCCGAGTACTTCGGTTTACCTGCCTATCTTCATTTCACCAATTGCTCCACAATCACCCTCAGGCCACAAGTGGCCGCAGTACAAGAGACTTAGTCCTACCCCACTAGCATGAAAAAAAACTTAGTGTCGACAAAAATACTGCCACACTCCAACAATGACAATTTAGAACACTACTGATAACATGCAAACCTCGCTGGCAAGCTGAATTATAACGCATGACAACAGGTTCCTCTTATTGCGGTTGCATCTAAACATACGCAACGATTTACATGCCAGCACCTAGTTAATTTGGACATTCACAAATCCATTTTTCAGGAAAAATCTCTGGCCCATTTCCTAACTTTACCGAGTACTAAAATATAATTTATCTACTCTGGAATTTCAACAACAAACTGAAAACGTGCTGGACATTTTAGAAACGATTTTGAATACCAACTTTCTGTTTCATCGTGACCGTAAGCAATACATACCAACAACTACAACCACGCCAATTTGTTATTTTCAGAAGATAGTTATATCCAAACCTGCCGATGAATTACGTGCAGTAAATACACAGATAACTGCCTCATAATTTGGCATAAAACTTTTCCGATAGAAACAAAAAAAAATGCCTCCCCAGGTACAGATCATACTGAGAACAAAATATGCGTCAGTAATAAAACACTGAACAAGTCAATACCTTCAAATAACCGAGCTGCATAATACCACATGAATGTGAAGTGGGCACATCAACAAAATTTATATAGCAACTGAAGCAATAAATCAGATTATTATATCTTCATCAGTGCAAAAACTTTACAAATGTTTGGCAGGACCTGTGATGGTATAAGGAAATAAAGCCTGAACAATTAAAAAAAGCTCATGACAAAAGATTAAGAAATCAAATTTACTACAAGACCTGCCGATTATACACTACTAAATCATAAAGGAAATGATGCTTTAGAAGGATTAAAATTTCGTCAATCAATTGGAAACAAGTATGAAGAATGGAAAACAACAGAACAGGGAAAAAGGTTTAAGACGGGAGGGGATCAGGAAAACCACGGAATGAATAATAGTACCTTACGTCAACGATGATAACGTCCATAAATAGGAAAGCTAAAAACAAGGTAAAGTTGTCCCCATGCATAGCTAAGTAAACACTACACCGTGAAGACACAGTAGAACTGCAAACTATTTGACCAAGTTCAGCACCCAACTACATGACCAAGTTCAAATAAACTTGGAATGGAATTCTACAATTTCTTGATTTTTGTTACGTGTTAAGGGACACTGTAGCTACGGTAACACAAAATATGCTTCAACGTGGAACGAGGTCGAATATCGTCTGGATATTTTTCGTGCCAAGGGAGCCCATACTGAAATTCAGTGAGAAAATTATATACTAAGATAAAAAAAAAACTCCTTGATACTTTCCCTTTGTAATGGTGTAACCCATAAATGTATATAATACATGTTCTCTGAGATATAATTATTTTGGATACCTTTCATCCAGACACTCTGTATTATTACCACATCAAACTAAGTTTTTATCTTATTGTATGGAATATGTATAAGCAAAAATGATTTCTTATAGTATAATAGGTATAGCGACTGGCTACGGGCTGAACGGCCTAGGGGTCGCAGTTCGGGTTCCGGTAGGGGCCACAGCTTTCTCTTCTCTACCAACCATATCCAAGGGGTACCGGGGGGTAAAGCGGGAGAAGCGTGAAGATGAACATTCACCTCTATCTAGTGCTGAGGTCAAAAATTGTGCACCTATACCTTCACATTCATGACATAGTGTTTAACTGCACAATTAAGTACAGGGATAACTTCACCCATTTTTGATACCAAATAATTACAACTTTGATCTTAGGCCCCCCATACACACACAGTTTGGCCTTCCGATCGACCTTACAGGCAAAACTGTGACAGTTTACCCCCTCCCTTTCCTCCCCATACACGCGCAGTTAAAGCAGCAGGCTTCATGCCACAATCACGGTCTTCCAGCCTATAATGTTGAGTCACACACGTCACGTGCTACGGTCCTGCAGGCAGAACTGACGGACTGACGGGTTTTCCACAGGCCAACAATCCAAACGATTGGCCGGCCGGCCACACTACACACGTCAGTTTTGCCTTTCAGTCTTCAACTATGCAGGCCGAACTGGAGGCCAAGGTGTGTGTGTATGGGGGCCCTTAGAGAGATGAGATGGGATGGTATGTATTGGATTGTTCTGGCTCAGGATAGGGACCAGTAGAGGGCTCTTGTGAACACGGTATTAACCTTCGGGTTCCATAAAATTTTGGGAAATTCTTGAATAGCTGCAGAATTGGCGGCTCCTCAAGAAGGGCTCAGCTCGATCAGTAAGTAATAAACACAACTTTACAGCATCATAAAGGGGGCTCCAAAAAAGTACTATCTTTGATAGTCAATATCTTTGGAACAAAATGACATGTAGTTACAATTCTTGCGCGGAGAGTGTCATTGTATGTGTTCGAAGTGACCACCATCAGCGGCTAGAAAGCGTCGATGCCGCCGAACTCCTGAGCGAACTACGGCTGTCAGTGTGTCCGGTGTGATGGCTGCACACGACGCTTTGATGGTTTCTCGTAGCGCATTCAATATAGCCGGCTTTTGTCCATAAACCTTTCGTCCTTCACGGTTCCCCATAGGTAGAGTCGAGAGGTGTTAGGTCTGGAGACCGTGGTGGGTACTCAGTAGCACCTCTTCGACCTATGCATCGTCCAGGTAGTGTCATCCAAATATGCCCTGACATCTCGATGGTAGTGAGGTGGAGCACCATCTTGATGTAGGTAAAATCTCTCATCTCCAAACAGCTCTCGAAGTGTTGCAACACCACAGAACTGGAAGCTGGACTTGTTACTATCCGTGGTCACCCAGATCTTTGCTTATGCACATCATGAACAGTACCGTCGGTTTCAAATTTGTCCCGAATACGGGCAATTGTTCGACGTGTTGGTGGCTGAGTTCCAAACTCATTCTGCCATTGTCGTTGTACCTCTTTAATGTTTTCGTACTTCCAGTACCACTTCAATACAGCCTTGCGTTGCTCAAAGAACCTTTTAGCCATTGTTGCTGTCTTCTGCTCGCAGCGCGCACGCGGCACGACACTCACGTGACTCATGTGACCTTCACCATCTGTTGAGAAGACACTACACTACCGCGCAAGAATTTTAACTACATGTCATTTTGTTCCAAAGATATTGACTATCAAAGAGTGACTACATTTTTTGGACCCCCCTGTAGTTATTCGTTCTTTTCATTCCATCACTCACAAATTCAGGAACTCACTAACCTCCAGTGAAAGCGTCTGAACTGTACCTTACACAAAGGCCGATAAGTGGCCTTGCGGGACTCGAGCCACTTGGCATGAACACGGCTACTACAAGACCCCACCCAACAAGCATTACTCAACAAGTAACTCGTGGTGAAACACTGCTTGAGGGTTAAACGGATCGGGAGGCTCAATAATCATAACTGTTCAATTAAATGGATCATAACGACACCGATCTTCATCTTCTTTAATCTAAGTCTTCAAAATAAAGGTCAAGTACTTATGTTTGTTTCCGGGGAGGAGTACTTCCTGCATCGCTAGATACGGTTTTCCCTCGACCTTGAACTACGAAGTCCACGCCTCCGGTATTTCCAGAAGACCCGGCACGACAAAAATATACCTCCCACATACAGTGGTGCGGATTTCATTTGTTACTGTGTCAGGAATGCCAACAACATGGAAACACAACTTCGAATAATTTTCACAGAAGTGCAGTGTTTGGACGATTTTGTAGACATCATGCCTGTAAGCCGCTGTGGCAAAACACGTGGGCCTACCACACTATTACCAGCAATCCCTGCCCACACACTAATGCTGGACTCCTGCCTGTATCTACGCATCATTCTTACGTCTCACAAATTAAATGTTTCCAGACAGACACTGATATGGATATCTTTTTCTTGTTTTGGTATGTGGAACAGATACACAAATTCTGTCCGTACATTTTAGTTACACCCTGTACAGTATTTACACACAACTTCAATAACAGCCTTGCATTGCAGGAACAAAGTTGGCATTTCTACAGTTAAGTAGTGTGCAGAAACGAGCAGAACACTCTCCAGCAGTTACTTAGAGAGTGAAAGCAATGCAAACTAAGAACTTTAAGCTCGCGGCTGGCACTATTCCCCATTCAATCCTGACGTCCAAATTAGTTACGATGAGGTCGTTGGAAACAAAGTGCCAACAACTGCAGGTCGAAGTCCGTACTCAATGTCAGTGACACAAATGCCCAAACGAAATCCACTTCGGCAACAAAATCCAATATTCAGCGACAATTGAAGTCCTGGCAATGAATCCGTTCCTTAAGAAACTCGAATCGGTCAACATCACCAAAGCCTATTTCAATGGCGTCTCTAATATCCAACAGTATGCTTTCAGTTTCTGCATGGTCAAAGGTATCTCGCGAAAATCCGTAATGCAATCTGTGTCCTTTCTCCCATCACAACTTCATCGCTCCAACGACAAATTGCATCGGTCGAATAGGTAGCTCTCCGGCTTCGTATTGGGGAGGTACTGGGTTCAAATTTCGCCTAGGGTATCGGTTCTGCAACGGGTTTTCGCGGTTTCCTCACTGCTTCCACAAAAAAAAAACTCCGTGATTTTAGTCAGCAAGCGAACTATACCGAACGAGCGACCGCCGCTTGTCAGCGAAGTTTAGTGCCAACTTTTGCGGATAGAGGGTGTCGCGTGGTCAGC